CTTCGACGGGTCAATTTTATGCACCGAAAGCCCAGCACTGAGATGCTCGATGAATTGAACGGTCATGATTCCGCAAGACGTACTGTGAGGCCAATAAGTTGGGAAATTACAACTGCATTTATGTAAAATTTGGATAAAATGCACTAAATTCACAATTCTTGCCCATCTCTTTGTTGTGGCACACCTGCAATGATGCAAACTGAGAATGGCGTAAACCTCGACATCTACAGCCCCTTTTGCTTAACCTCTTCAACCTCAGAATCTTCATAAAACTTCATATTGTACAGCACTCGTGCAAGCGTATCGCTAACAGGTTGCAGAAGTGTAACCAGCTTCGAAGATTTGGTATATTCAACATATGAGTCATACACAGTTGCAGTATGTCGGACGAAATCAATTTCGATTGCAACCCAATGGGACTCTCAAAGATTATATGAAAAATAGACTTTCCGGACTTTTTTCCAAGCTTGGGCATACCCGTGTTGCCACATACCGTGCACAAAGTGATGTACATTCTTCAGCTTGTTGGCCGGAAGGTCACTGGTGTTTGAAGCAGCTGCCTTCTTCGATCCACGTGTCTTGCCAGTCGCTTTTAACAGCTCTAGAAATTGCTGTAGACATTGAAATGAAGCCATATTACATAATGACAACCGAAAGCAAATGAAGCAGTGAATGTAACATGGTAACATGTTTACCTGCAAGGCATAATCTGCCGTTGTCCAGTCGGTTCCAAATAGCAATGGATGAGAGAGTTGACTTTTCCGAATAAGAAAGGTTGCCATTTCCAGGTGCTGAAAGTTGACATATAATATCAGCACATTTTCAGACAATTGTACACTTAAAAAGGAGAGAAAACAATTGAATTATCATAATAAAGTAGAGATTTGTGTATTCTTACGCTTGAGCTAATTCATGCCGTTTAATCGATGAGTTTGTAGGAAAAATCAGTGCCCATAGAAAATGCTTCAAGCTGCACCTGCACACTAGAAAAGGCAAACTTGCAACGGTTCACAAAACCTTCTGTGTATGACTCCTGCGATGAACAAAGTTATAGAGATGCTTGAGGGAGAGGTTGAGTACTTGCAACTCCCTCCCAAGCTTCTTTTATGTCCACAACAAGAGATGCCCAGAGACAATCTTCACGGTAATTCGAATCCAATGTGTTCTAACACAGAGCTAACATGTAGTACTCTGTCAGATACGAGTAGGACTCAACTAGAGTTTCAACTTTAATTTCAGTTTTATTATTATTTAAGCTAATAGGGGAAATATATGGGTTTAAGCTAATTTCAGTTTTATTATCATTTTGAACAAATACTTATGTGGTTTTGCTCCTCTGCCACCACAAGCATCTCCCTCGTTGTCATAATCACTACCAACGCCACTGAGTCATATCTCATATATTTATTTATTTTTGGAAAATGCTAAGTAGGCCAGTTTTAGTAAAAACTAGCAAAAGTGCCCGCGCGATGCTGCGGGTTTTAAAATTGCGTGAAATGTGTATAAAGCGATGAAAATAGGCAGGGAACATCTCAACTACCCAATTGCCAAAATACTCAAGGGGTTTACCAACATGTTCAAATATTGGAATCATTAAACCTATCATTACAACAACAAATTAACACCAACCAATTGTCAATTGATGCCATTAGCTAATTCCTATGCTCTATTCACAAAACTTAAAACAATTAATTGAAATTTCAGCCTAGAAACTCACCCCTTACTGAAAACACCAACCAAACCGCTCCATCCAAAGCAACGAAAGACCACCTGCAAATATCAAAAGAAAACATGGTCTTAAAAAAAAAAAAAAAAAAAAAGGAAGAAAAAACAGAAAAATCGGAGAAGAAATTAGCTTGAGTATTTCATGCATGCACAATATTTTCATTAAACCAAAAAATTAGCTTGACCAAAATCTGTACGGAAAGAAACCACTCAAGACTACCCAAATTAATGTGTTTTGGGTAAAGAAAAACATTGTAAAGGCACAGGAAAAGGACTGTTTAAATGATCCTAGATGCATTTGAAACAAAAGAGTATATGATCAAAAAGTTACTGGCCTAAACAATCAAAAGTCACCTATGCAAAAGTCAAACTAAACAATCAAAATCCCAAAACAACTATCTCTGCATTGTCGTTGTCATCAAAGATTTGAAAATTCTATCTCATAACCCTACACCACCAAAAACACAGAATCAATACTAAACTCAAAGAATAAGAACTAAAATTAATAGAGAAAATTGAACCTGATTCAAAGCTTACCAATATGTCGTGATATATAAATACCTCAGCTCTTATATAGCATTAGGGATTACCCAAGAACCTGAAATCAAATTAACCAAATAAATGAAGCGAAATTTGTAAAAAATAAATCAAAAATAAAAATACCCAGAGCAAGACAGCAAGACAGAGAATGAGAGAGACACAAAGTCCAACACAAATCAGTGGCCGGTGTGGAAACTAAAGCAAAATTTGGAAGCTGAAAGACTCCCCACAAACGTAGACTAAAAACTGGGATTCGAAGAGAGGTTTGGTAATGCTTGTGGTAAAAGCTTAGTCAGAACGAAAAAGCAAAAGAAATGGATAACAAAATCACCCAAAGAGAAAGAGAGAGAATATTTTCTGTAAAAATGGCGTTCTAGAACAAAATCAGAGCGTTACCTAAGAATATCCAGAAATTAAAGTGAAACCATATGCGGATGCCAAAAAAACAAATGCAATTTAGGTAAGTGAAAGCAAAGATGGAGAGAAAAGGAAATATGTTAATTTTTTTTAATTTGCTAACAATATCCAGAAGACACAGAGAGAGAGAGAGAGATTAATCCCCGAAAAATAATTAAAAAATCAGAAAATCAAAATAGACGAAAACCATTTGGTGAACCAAAAACAAAACTAAAATGAGAGAGAGAGATTCATACCATTGACATCAACATCAAATCTAAATGCTCTTTTCATTGGTGCTCTGGAGAAACAGCATACATATATATATAATCAAAGAAATTCCATTAGGATCCAAAAATTAGA